GACAAAAGGTTCTTGATATTCCAGTCAGTATCAGAGTAGCTGGACAGAAGGTACTTGTTACTCCAGTCAGTATCAGAGTAGCTGGACAAAAGGTTCTTGATATTCCAGTCAGTATCAGAGTAGCTGGACAGAAGGTACTCGTTACTCCAGTCAGTATCAGAGTAGCTGGACAAAAGGTTCTTGATACTCCTGTCGGTATCAGAGTAGCTGGACAGAAGGTACTTGTTACTTCTGTCAGTATCAGAGTAGCTAGACAGAAGGTTCTTGTTACTCCTGTCGGTATCAGAGTAGCTAGACAGAAGGTACTCGTTACTCCTGTCAGTATCGGAATAGCTGGACAGAAGGTACTCATGTCTCCAGTCAGTATCAGAGTAGCTGGACAGAAGGTTCTTGTTTCTCCTGTCGGTATCAGAGTAGCTGGACAGAAGGTTCTTGTACTCCAGTCAGTATCAGAGTAGCTGGACAGAAGGTACTCGTTTCTCCAGTCAGTATCAGAGTAGCTGGACAGAAGGTTCTTGTTACTCCAGTCAGTATCAGAGTAGCTGGACAGAAGGTTCTTGTTACTTCCAGTCAGTATCAGAGTAGCTAGACAGAAGGTTCTTGTTACTCCTGTCAGTATCAGAGTAGCTGGACAGAAGGTACTCGTTTCTCCAGTCAGTATCAGAGTAGCTGGACAGAAGGTATTCGTTTCTCCAGTAAGTTCTTAAGGCTTATACAAAACATTTGGTGAGGTATTAATGAATATAGTAGTAATAGTCTATGTTATAAGGCTCCCCCAGGAACAGCGGTAAGCCTTCGGATTTACAAAGCTAAAATCGAGGGTTTCGATTCCCCCTTGGTGGACGCAGCAGATAAGCTCATTGTGGCTTTGCTATAACAAAACCCACATTTTATAAATAAATTGTGTGAAAGTTAGGATTTTTTGTGTTATTTATCACAGCATCCACCCACACATTTTTCTAAGTTCATAACTCAGACAAAGGACGAGTACCTCAGCTTTTTGGTTAAAATTTGAAACATGCTTGGATAAAGAAAGATTTCATTGGTGATTGCTCATTTCACCTCCAATTTGAAAGTAAAAGGTTCTGTGTTCAGGACAGCAGGTGAACTTG